ATTATTATTTTGGTGGCTGGATCAGCCTGCCCTGGGGGCAGGGCAGGCAAGGCATTGGTGCCAGGATTGAACCACGGTCCCTGAGCTTTGCCTAAGCTTGCCTAAGTAAGTACTTTAAACTACCGAGCTATCTTGCCATCCCAAAAGTTTTATTTTTAATAAAGGACTGGATACTTGGAGATATACCTCATCTGCAGCTGAAAAAGAAAAAAAAGGTACAAAGAGAATTACATAAAAATAAATTATTTGTTATAAAAAATATAGATCAAGGAGTACAAACCTATACTGGGGAATAATCTACAAAACAGCCAGCTAGTCTTCTGCCAAAACATCAGCCACAAAGAGACAAAGCCAGGGCCACGCTAATGAACTGAAGGAGAGAGTAAGGGAATCAAAGGTGGGGTCCCCTTGGGTCCTGTGGCAGTTACCCAGGGTGCCAGCATTGGGGAGAAAGGGTGGAGACTGCCTGGGACATCTACATCAGTTCTACAACTGCTTTTTTTTTTTCCTCCCATAATTTTATTGATAAACAAATAGCAATGAGACAGTTTCAAATCAAATTGGTAGGACAGTTTCAATAATTAACACATTGCATACCTTCTTCCTAGTGTACAACTGCTTTCTAAGTCTAAAATACTTCACATGAAAAGTTCTCTGAGAACTATAGATATGGCTTCTCTGTCTCTCAGGAACCTCCAGTTCTTTCAAGTCAGTGGTGGTAAACCCATTGCATGAGCGCCAGAGTGAGCACATAGGGCTCTCTCTAGGATGACGTCATGAGTTGAGTTGGTTTTTTCTAGACTAAAACCCAGGTATTCAGTTTTAATTGCAGTGTTGGCATTTTGTGATAAATAAGGGGTTGGGGTTGCAGTTTGGGCAGTCTATAAAAGGTTTGCCATCATGCTAAGTAATAAAGGCTTTCAGGAAATATGTTTTATGATCTTAATTTGCAGCTATCAGTGAAGACTAATTGCTCAAAGGGACCAGGGAGATAGCTCAGTAGAATAAGAGCTTGCCTGGCAAGTGTAAGGGCCTGAGTTCAATCCCTGGTACCACAAAAAATAAATAAATAAAATAATAATAATAATAATAATAATTGCTCAAGACACAGTGCTACCAGAACCCTTCCGACTGTGACTGCCAAAGCCTTTCCCAGACCACACATATCTGCAAAACAAGATCAGCCAAGAAGGGCACATGAAAGAGATCAAATTCCATGAAGGGGACAGCTGGTAATAAGTCCACCCTAGAGGGCTAGGATCAGCAAAATTAATTCTATTATACAGAGGGACATTTTGTGAACCTTTTGGTATACAAGGATTATCACCTTAAAACTTGTTTCATCATGAATGAGAAATACATATGCGGGCTTTAATAACTTACAGTAGCTACCTTAAAATGGGGCTTCAGACAAAGGATTGATTCTCCTCCTCTTCCTCTGAGGAAGATTTTTAGGAAGATGCTGGAAAATCACTTGCTGGTTATCAACCAGAGGCACTTGATGAGCCACTTGTGGTGTGATCATGAGGAACAGCATACTGGAAACTATTACCCTTTATGCAGTCCTGGGTCCAGCGACCAGCAAAACATTGAAACAGGTACCACAGAGGAGCAGGAGCTGGAGCAAAACTCTCCTTAGTTCCTTGAATTCAGAACAAGCAACCAAGCCACTTGTCAAAAAAACTAAGGCGCCTGGTTTCAGAGAAAGACAATGTAGGGCAAAAGGACATACCTTCCAGCCAGCAAGACAATAATACTATATAACCAGGTTTCTTTTGTCGAGGATTCTTCCACTTCTCAGCCTTTACATTGATTCCCTTCCTTCCAAAGGATGCTAGGCTTCAAGCTCTCAAGTTCTGGTAACCATGCCCTAAAGCAAAGTGAAAAGTTCTATGTGACCTAGATATCAGTGGTCACAGAAAAAGAGCTGTAATACAAACAAAAGCCATTATTTCTTGCTGGTGACAAAGGCAACACAGACAGAATTTTTTAAAAAATGAATTTCTCCTCTTTTATAAACCTATACCTACCTATTCACTAGTCTGTATATTTCTCCCATCAATTATTCCTTTTTTAAAAAAATTTTGCTATCTTAGGGGGTAGGGAGATAGCTCAGTAGAATAAACACTTGCCTGGAAAGTTCAGGGTCCTGAGTTCAATCCCTGGTACTGAAAAAAAAAAAAAAAAAACTTTTTTTTTTTTTTTGTGGCCAACTCAGCCCACCCTGGGAGCAGGGCTGGCACGCCATGTGGTGCCAGGGATTGAACCATGGTCCCTGCATGCTTGCCTAAGCTGCATAAGCAGATGCTTTAGACTGCTGAGCTATCTTGCTCGCTCCTCTCCTATCAATTATTCTAATTCCATCCTTTAAAGGAGAACATGGGAGGTGTTTTCTCAGAGTCAGCCCAAAATGATCTCTGCTTTTTGATACAAGATCTTCCTTTTATTACCATACAGAGACAGAAGGAGCTAAACAAGATCTAGAAGTAATCGATAGGGAAAGAATGAGCATGCTGTGAAGACTTGCCATCAGGAAGCCTGAATCCTGCCAGGAATCAGGATTTACACTCATGAACAATCATTTTTAGAGTCACAAGCTCTTCTTTGAGTCAAATGCAACTGGGAACCTCTCCTCATGCTACATACACACAGGTGTTGCAGAACTCAAGAGGTCAGAGAGGTCCAACAAGGAAACACAAGGATTTATTCCAGGATTTTAGGTCTACACTGGCTCAATTGGCACTTTTATGTGTCCAACATGGCTGAGCATCAGATGAAGGAAAGTCTCCAGTTTTTATAAATTTGGTGGAGGAGACTAGCATGAAAAGAGACAAAGACAGTTATTTACTCAGTGACAATTCTCAGCAGCCTTGAAAGAAAACAGTTATGGGGAGTTCAGGGTATCACAAGAACCTGTTTACAGAAACACAGTTATTTACCTTGTCTGTATTTTTTGAGAGAAAACAGTTTCTAAGATGTAAAAGGGCTCCATCTACAGGAGTATACTTGTCTACCTTATCAGTACCAAGCAGAGGTCAGCTTTGAAAGAAAGCAGATTTCTTTTCTCTTCTTTCTTTTTTTTTTTTTTTTTAATTTTTTTTCCTTTTTTTTTTTTTTTTTTTTTTCTTTTTGGCTGGCTCAGGATGCCTTAAGGGCAAGTCTCATAAGTTATGAGGATCTGGGGATCAAAAACCACAGTATCCTGGGCCTGACTGCCTTTGCTTAAGCAGGAACTTAAATGACAGAGATAATGGGCAGGCCCCCAAGAAAAGCAGATTCCTGAGGACCCAGACATTACAGGACACTGCAAGAATTTTGTTCTTTACCTTATCTGTGATAGGGGTCAGAAGTCGTGGGGAGGGTGTAACCTGGAATCATAGCTGTGTGAAACTTGACAACCTGCTTTAAAAAAAACCTGATTCTTCTTTCAAGTTCTGTGGTACACACGTCCCACATAACTTCTGGAATAAAAGTAAAGTTTATAGATCAGCAAGTGTATCACAGCACAATTATCCTCATTTTTCTGCTAAATATTGAGAAATAAAAGAATTAGAAAGAGTTATGAATCACAGTTGGTTGATGGGTTTATCTATGCCCTACATGTTTGTGGACTAAGTGTGACTTTCTGTCATTACATTTTCCAAAAATAACAACATCCTGACACATCAGGGTCAGAAAGAGGGGAGAGATGAAGGTGAATAAGAAAACACAATGAAATACAGCAAAAGGGAAGAAGCAAAGACAGAAAAAATGGGAATGTGGAAGAACCTTAGGGGCTCCAGCAAATCCGAAGGAAATCAAAGGATACAGTTTTGAGAAACAAGAAAATCCCAGGCACAAAAGACTGGCAGACTGCAGGTTTCCTACCCACTCTGAAGAGCATGTCACACCAGTCTGGCATGGTCTGCTCACCTGTACTGGCAGGAAAGGAGACTTCATGTATAGCAGGGTCCAGGCTGATGACATGAGATGGAGAACCTTGGCCCTATTGGTGACTGGTGAGACTCTGCAGAAATAGGAGTAGGTTGGAGGTAGACAAGAAGGGATAAGAAGGGGACCACAGTGAATTTCCTTTTTATCGAGAGTGACTGAAGACTTCAGCACTATAGCCTTCCACAACTAATGCTCAACTTTCAGATACTTTAATTGCTGTCTTCTTGACTGGAACAGCCTCCACTACTCTAGATCACTTATCCATTTTCTATGTTTGAATAAAAACTTTTTGGGGGGGGGCAGAACCAGGGATTGAACTCAGGCCCTTGCGCTTGCCACGGAAGAACTTATTCTACTGAGCCATCTCCCCAGCCCCTGAATAAAAACTTTGCCACCACTAAAACATCAACTTCGTTTGCAACTCTTCACCAGAACCTTTATGTTAGCCTTGTCTTGATCTCTAGAAGCACTCATTAGCCTGGTTTCCACGCAGAGGCATTTAGATCAGACAATTTCAGTACCAAGAGGTAAACTGTACCAAGCCCATGCTAGGCAGGCCCAGCGGAGAACCTTCACCAACCCAGGTGTGGCTCCAAGGACATAAAGAGGAAAGAACTGGAGTTGACTTTGACGCTAAGTCCCACGGAAGCACAGGCCTGGACCCCGCATACCCTAGAAACACTGCTCCCTTTCTCCCTATCCTTAGGCCCGCCCCGGGCAACCTACTGTACCTCTTAATACCTTTTTTAAAAATTAGACTTTAAAGGGCTGGTGAGATAACTCAGCAGACTAAGCACTTGCTTTAGCCAAGTGCAGCGACTAGGTTCAATCCCCAGCACCACAAGCGGTGCCACGGAGGCTGAGTGTGGTGGCGCGTGTTATGGGTCAACTCTGCACAGGAACCAGATCAGCCAGATAGAAATTTGAATAGAGCTTTTTATTTATTGTGCTCAGGTCTGTTAGCCACTTTTCACACAGGAGAAGGCTGATCGGCCTGAACGTAGGTAGCAAGGGGGTATTTATAACAGAAATCACATCTAGCTTGGTAAGCAAATTTGTTATCTAACACAGAACAACAGAAACTACATTTATTTGACACAGCTGTAAACTGTTTATAATTAAAAGATCTTTTACAGCTTAGTGATAAGAGTATATTTTTATAAGATATATCCTGGGACTGGTGAGATGGCTCAGTGGTCTAAAGCACCTACTTGGAGCAAGCTAAGCAAAGCACAGGGACCGCGCCGTTCAGTCCCCCAGCACCACATGCCAGCCAGCCCCGCCCCCTGGTGGGCTGAGCTGGCCACATAAATAAATAAATAAATAAGTAAATAAATAAATAAAAATTTGAAAAAAAAAATAATAAGATGTATCTTAAGCTGACTACATTATAGGAGATGGTTGGGGAGGGAGTTTGTGTTAGCTTGCTGGCCTTGAGTCGAAAGGGAGAATACATTTTTTACAGTAGATAACAAGAAGCACAAGGGGTTTTATAATTTTTCACAGTTAAGGCACAAAACTCTGTTAACCCTTTACAGAGTGGCCTGTAATCCCAGCGCTGGGGAGGCTGAAAACAGGATCACCGGAGTCCAAGCTGCATAGTGAAACCCTGTACCAAATACGTCTTTTTTAAAAAAAAAAATTAGACTTTATTGGTAAATTTCAGATATACATGACAATCACATTCATCATAGTGCATTTGTAGCTGTACACGATATAACTTGGTTTTTTTTCCTTTCCCTTCCCTCCCTTCAACTTCTCCCCATTTACAAAGTCTTGTTTCCATGTTTTTCTTCTTTTCTCATTAAAAAAATTTCCCCCGCTTTCCGTTCTTCCTGCAGTACTCATCATCTTAACCCCTAGCCCGTGCTTTCCTGGCTCCAGTTGTTCCCCACACCAGCAATCTCGAGGGCCCGGAGCGCGACGGCCCTGGGGTCGCCGGCGCCGCCATCTTGCCGGCTCAGCATAGAGACGCCGCGCGCCGCCAGAGGGGCTGCGGCTGGTATCCTAGCAACTCGACGGCGAAGACGCGGAACTGCGGGCGGAGGGCGACCTCTGGGAGTCTGAGCGCACCGGGGCCTGACTGGTGTCCCTGGCTGCGAAGCGGGGGCATCGGCTGACAGCCGCTGACCGTGAGGCTTGGACCTGCGAGGGACAAAGCCGAGGGCGTCTGGAGGGCCAGACGAGATGGGATCCTCAGCGCAGAGACCCGACAGATTCCTGACGCCGAGCAGGCGAGCTGTCATCTTCCCGAGAGAGCTGCTGGGAGCCGCTGTGGGGCCGGCAGCTAGGGCTCCCTTGACAGCCGAGGAGATTAAACAGCTGAGGGCTACACCGAGCAGTAGCAGAGAGACGTGCGGCCTGCGGAGCCCTTGCACCCCGCAGAAGCGCGTGGACCACGGGGTGGCGCCCGCGCGGGACGCCTCCGCGCCTAGACTCAGTGCCCGCGAGAGGCCGACCCCTGCCACCAGCGCATGCTCCTCTGTCGTCACCCTCAGTGACCTACATAGTTCGGCTAGTGAGGGCCTCAATCGCGAGAGCTTGTGAGTCCTGAGGGCGCGCTCGGCTCCCCCTAGGGGCTCTGGGAAATGTGGGAAAGATGCACTACGAGTCCAGGAAAGTCTTCCTGGACCCGAACACCCTGTCTCGTCCGCGGCCCTTCGGAGCTGCTACAGTAGAATCTGAGGGTCATAAACATTGAGTTTCACACCCAGACTGCCACTTGTAACCGTGTTACGTCGTGCACAGGTCACTTAAAGGTTCTGGGCCGGCTTTCTCCTTTGGAAAACTGAGATCATGTTGCTCAAAGTTGGAGGGAACGCAGAGTGTACGTGGGAAGCCACATTCCCGGTCTTTACACCTAGCTCTTTTCCGGTGCCTGGCAGAGTCTGCAACATAATGTCAAGACACTTGTGCCGTCTTAAAATTATTTCTTACCTTGTGGTTAAGAACCCATAAGGGGGGCCTGGGAGATAGTTCAGTAGAATAAGCGCTTGCCTTGCAAGCGCAAGGGCCTGAGTTCAATCCCGGGTTTCGAGGGGGAAAAATCCGATAAGGCAATATCTCCTGCTCTTTTCCTTCAGGTTTGCTACGACTGGCCCAAGTTTCACTTCACCATCGGCATATCTTGTACTTCTCCATCAATGCCTGCCGCCAGAGAAACTAACGAAGAGGGAGAAGAGACTAAAAGGAAAGATTGTAGCGGCCCTGAGCAAGCTGAACAACCAAATCCAAGAAGCTCAGACAAGGCAGAACTCGCTGCTGGAGGAGAACAGACAGCTGCAGACGGAAAAGCTCCTTGTGGAGGCTGAAAGCAAGTTCATTCTGAGCTACCTAACTGAAAAAAGTAAGCAGCGAGAGAGGAAGTGTGAGGAGCTGTGGAAAGATTATTTCCAACAATACCGTGAGCTGGAGCAGAAGAAACAAGAATTAGCCTCTAGATATGGAAAAGAAACCTCAGACCTGAAAGCACAGCTCTTACGGGGGGAAAAGGTCCAATCCAAATTGGAGCAGCAGTTGCAGGCTCTGAGGAATATTGCCACCATCAAGGAGAGACAGGACAGGAGAATACAGAGCTTGCAGGAGCAGATAGAGAGAATTCCCACCCAGACACATGTGAAGGACCGGGAGGCGCACTTACAGTTCCTCCAGCAAAAAGCCTTTCTGGAGCAAGAAATTAAAGAGCTGGACCTGGTGCGGGCTCGGTTGAGGGAGAGAAAAAGAAGGGAGCTTGGTGGAAAGACCCAGGCCTTGGAGTACACAGCACAAAAGTCTCATTTTGAATTCTGCCATGGCTTCATTGGAGAAAACCAGCAATTGAGGAAGAAATTAAAGCCATTACTTCAGGAAGCCCAGAAACTGGAAGCTCTTCAAAGCTGGTTAGAAAACCAGAAGCGGCAGCTGAAGCAGAGACAGTGGTACCAAGAAACCATCAGGAGGGCGAGGCAACGAGGACAATCCAGGTGCTGCAGCCCAAAGCAACAGGGTGCTCCAGAGACCATAGTGCACCCTGCCCTGGACACCAGTCAGCATCCAAGAGGATCCTGAAAATAAGCGACGAAGTAAGAACTGGGCCAGGTACTCCTAGAGCAGAATATTTTTGAATCTGGGCCATTATTGCTCTAGCAGTACTGAAGTTCTAAGAGGACAAGTTACCTAATTATGCCAAGCACTGTGTAGTACTAATTAGGGGACTTAGTTATCCTTACGTGTGTACTCTGTCATATACAAAGGACCTTTTGTCATTTATACAATCATATATTTATACCCATTTAGAACTGAGAATATTTTAAATTACTATAGACTTATTGATTTGAATTGAATTTTTTTGTATTTTATGGCAGATGAAGGCTAGACTGATGATTTACTGGAATGTGAATCTTGGTACAGCTGACTATATTTCCATATTTTAACATTGCTCCTCTATGGAAAGATAGAATCAACCATGTTTTCCAGAAGAGGTTAGTGATGAAAAATTTTGCATTACACTTTGTGAATTGTCAGTCTTATTTCTAGGTAAAATGAATTTGTTGAAAACTAGATTTAAAACTTTTTCCATATGCCTTTCACTCACTCCTAGCTTTAATATTTTTGTCACATATAAGGTTTCCTTGTGTTACTAAGCAATGTTTTGTTATTAAAAATAAAAACCTACTTATAGTTTATCCATTTTATTAGTTTCAATATGCTGAATTATCTAACTTATCACTCTCTACTTACAACTCCTGTCTATAGCACTTTTGAAATAATGTAAGTACTTTTATTGCAGAAGTTTAGGGCTTTCAATTGCATGCAGCTAGTGTTTACTGAACACCATCATTTGTGAACTGAAAACAGAAAGCACTTAGACAACGCTCATTTCCAGTGTGGCTAGGAAGCCCCAAGCACTGTATCTCAGGCTGTTAGGGGTCTGTAAGTAGCGAGGCTCTTGGGTTCTTCCTATTCCACTGTTCACTTCCCCACCCCCACACTGTTCCCAACATCTATTGGAGGAATGGATCATTTCCTTCTGGCTGCAGGGTATTTTCATTTGTTATCATCTCAGACAATGGACCTCATATATTGTTCCTGGCTGTGCTTTTCAATGAACCCAAGAACAGAAAGTGGTATGTAGCTAAAGTGTAGTTGTAGAAAGATGAAAAAATACAGTAAGGGAGGGGAAGATGGAGCTAGTAACAGAACAGGTAGATAGGAAGAGAAGCTACGGTTTTGGCTCAGCATCTGGACGTGGTGAATCATTTACTCAAGAGCAAGAGTTGGGTTTGATGGCATTCACAAAGACTCCCAGCACTCGCAGGGTTGAGGCAGGAAAATGGCAAATCTGACTATAGCTTTGGCAGTACAGTACATTTTTTTAAAAAATTAAGAGGCCTGGGGCTGCAGAGATAGTTCAGCAGTCTAAGTGCCTGCCTAGGCAAGCCCAAGGACCTGGGTTCGATCTCCAGTACCACATGTGATGCCAGTCCTGCCCCAGGCACACCACGTCATCCACCAAGACTGGGTGCGGTGGCACAGGCCTGTATCCCAGTGCTGGGGAGGCTGAGACAGGAGGTTCGCTATGAGTCTGAGTTGCATAGCAAGACCCTGTACCAAATACATTTAAAAAGTATTATGAAAAATTAAGGGGCCTGATTGGAGAGGTTAAGAAGTCAGAAGAGGATGGGGTAACTTCAAAATTCAAGGCAAAGCAAAAATAACATTTTTCAAGTGTTCTAAGAAGACGGATTATTTTATTCTTTTTGATATGACTTATTTTTTAACATTTTTAAAAATTTTTTTATTAATTTGTGTGTGTGTGTGTGTGTGTGGCCAGCTCAGCCCACCAGGGGGCGCGGGCTGGCTGGCATGTGGTGCTGGGGGATTGAACCGCAGTCCCTCTGCTTTGTTAAGCTTGTTCTGAGTAGGTGCTTTAGACCACTGAGTCATCTCACCAGCCCCGATATGACTTATTTTTAAGAACTATTTCATATAACAAAAAGAAAAATGTACCATTCATTATCTACTTCAATAAACAATTAATAGGGCTGGGGAGATAGCAAGGTCCTGAGTTCAATCCCTGGTACTGCAAAAACAAAACAACAACAAAAAACAATAGTTGATGTCCTTCTGGAGCCTAGAATTACTACCCCAAATTTGAGATTTATCATTCCTGTGAATGTTTTTATAATATAGAAATACTGATGTGGACACATGTGTATAGAGATACCTGGAAAAGCATTACTTATATGCATGGTAAAAACTGTATGAATGGGATACTCGCTTTTCCTGTTTTTATATTAATGTGTAGTGAAAACTAGATGCCCTCATTAGTTTTATGGCTTGTGTTCTGCTCTGAGTCTATTACAATCTATCCCTCTTTTAGATGTTTGCTACAAGAACTTTACTCTTCAATGGAATTTGGGGAGGATGGTTGGTTTTGCTTAAAAAGCCTCTTGTTCTTTGCTGCCATCAATCCCTGTGATACCTTGTGAATCTCTTTCCCTCTGCTTTGACATTCTGTCCCCTGGCTGCTGTCCTAGGTCCCAGAAAAAACCTACAGTGGTGTCACTGGTTCCATTCTCAGCCTCAGCTTCTTAGAGTCTGCACTGCAGAACTGTCTCCAAGAACGCTCTTCCTTAGAGAGGCACAGCTGCTCTGAGAGCACTGCTAGCCTTTCTATGTGACAGGGTTCTTTTGACTCCACCAATTCTTTAAGTGAAATCACTCAGGATGCTCAGAGAAACTGTCACAGAAGTTTTATCTACTTTGGGTTTCCTTTTATTTAAAACTGTGAGAAAATGTACATAAAATATACCATTTGACCACTTTTAGGTGGATGGCATTAAGTACATTCACTGTTGTACACCCATCACCACTGTCCAGACGCTTTTATCGCCCCCAATGGAAATTTTGTTCCACCAGACGGAACGCCTGTTCTTTCCATCCCCAGCACCCATTCCACTCTGAATCTGACTAGATACTTCATATACTTGGGATCATTTGCTTTCTGTCCTTTTGTGCCTTATTTCGTATGCCTTCAAGGTTGATCCGTGTAGCAAGTCAGAATTTTCTTCCTTAAAGCTAAATATTCCACTCCACATATATAACTTTACCCGTTCATCTGTCTGAACATTAGGCTTTCTTCCACCTTAAGACTCTCATTAAGTAACATTATGAACACTGGTGTACAAATGTTTCGAGTCCATTTTCAGTACTTGGGGCACATACCCAAGAGGGGCATAGCTGGTCCTTATGGGAGTTAATTTTTCAAGGACCAACCACACTGCAGCTGTCCTGTTTTTACTTCCCACCAACAGAGTACGAGTTCATCTCTACACATCTTTGACAACACTGTTGTCTCTGCTATGTCCATCAATTTTGGAAAAATATTTTACCTGTCCTTTTTTTTTTTTTTTTTTTGGCAGAACCAGGGATTGAACTCAGGCCCTTGTTTGCCAGGCAAACACTTATTCTACTGAGCTATCTCCCTGCCCCCCCCCCTTTTTAATTAATGTATTTGGTACAGCCTCTGACTACACAGCTTGGACTCCTAATAATCCTGTTTTCAGACTCCTCAGTGCTGGGATTACAGTGGCTGGCTCAATGTACCCACGGGTGGGGCTGGCACAGGGATCAAACTCGTCACTGCACTTGCCTAAGCAGGGGCTTAGTCCACTGAGCTCTATCTTGCTGGCCCTAAGCCCATCCTTTAAACTTGCATATTTGAAGTCAGTTTTATCAGATGATTTGGAAATATTTTCCATTTTTGTAGCTTGCCTTTTACCAATAATATGCCTTTGATAAACAAAAACGTTTTTAACAATCCTTTTGCCAGCCAGTATTTGCATTATATTCTAGAAAGAACTTTTGGATCCAATTATGACTTTGGAGAGCTTTATAAATTTTCCCCTTAATTTTTGTATATTGTGTTAAGGGTTCACCTTCACTCCTTCACATGTGGGTATAGTTTTCCCAACACTCTTTGTTGAACATTGTCCTTTTCCCACAGACTGATCTTGGCCCAGGCAGGCCGGCCTCAAACTCATGGTGGTCCTCCTGCCTCAGCCATCTGAGTGCTGGAATTACAGTCATATGTTAGCTGTTCAGCTTTTTTGTTTGTCTTGCTATGTAGCTCAGGCTGGCCTCAAATCGCAGCAATCCTCCTGCATCAGTCTGCCAAGTACCGGGATAACAGTCATTCACCACCTCCTCATTTTTGAAAAGAAACCCATGAGGTTGCTAATGAGTTCTTGAACCCACTTTGAGTGTGTACTAAAGAGATGATGGGTCACAGCCATGACTTAGGGACAGTTGAGCAATTAGAGGGGTGGGGCAGTGGGCAGGCAAACCATTCACAGGGGTCTGGTTCCTTTAGAAAAAAGCACAACTGCTAGAATAAAACTGTATGCCTTTATTCAACATGAGTCATTAAGATACAGTTTGTCCATGTGCAGAAACACTGTACATTCAACTCTGAAGAAGGTAGTTTCTATATAAACCATAAAAAGAATCTAAAAGAGGAATAAAAATGATAGTGAGGAACTAAATGGTAGAGTTTTATCTGTCAAAGTGCCAAGGCCTATGTGCACAAGTTTCTTCCATTCTGGTTCTTGGTGCTGGTGAAAAGTGTGTTACAAAATTAAGGGGAGTTTTGAAAAAAATAGTTTAATGCACTTATGGATAAGTTTTCATTTCTCAGGTTTTGTCATTTTATTTTGCATCTTTCATTAGTTCCAGAAACTGAATTCTTTGCTCTTTAATTAGTAATTATCAAAGAATAATGTCCTTCCTAACTTAGAGCCTATTTCTTCATCTAAAAAGAGATGAATATGAGATTCTGAAAGAATTTCAAAATGTATATAATGTAATTACTTACAGGGGCAGCTGGGGTCGTTAATGAAGTCACCAAATGGTTGGTGTTGCCTGAAAACTTAACTCGAAAAAGAATCACTGACTTAGGACCAAAGCCCAACTTCATTTCCAAGCTCTAGGTATCTGAAAACATGAAACTCTGGCTTTCTTTAAGGAATTTACCCAAGACATGTAAAAATGTACATAACATACTTTCCATAGGAAGTACATGGGCTGTGTGTAAAAGCCAGGGGCAAAAGCTGCCATAGTTCCATACAAAACCACAAAATGTCTCCAATCAAAATTCATGTTATACTGATGGCAATCTACCATCTTAGGTAAACTCAAGACTTTAAAAAGTAAGTTACTTCATTCAAAATTTTCTTACATCCATACCTCAGATTTATCTTTTCTTCAAGACATCCTCCAGCTAAGATGAAAATCAGACACTCTCCCACTACCACAGCTTCTTTTGAAGAATGAGGAAAAATGAATTTTTTAGCAGAACCCACTTTTTAGCCACAGCCCATCTCCACAACTGCTCATCTCTTAAAAGCTTTTTCAGGTTTTCTCTGTCCTTGTTGGTAAGAACTTTTTTAGGGTCTTCCTTTATAGGTTAAGGCTAAAAGCTATGTGGAAGTACACAGTATTAATTCCTCAGTCTATCCAGTATGAAAGCAACCCAATCTTTGACCGTCACCAAGTATTAGGACAACAGAGGATATTCACAGTTT